ATATATTGTACCAGCTGTTTGAAACACTGACTGAATAAATGGAAAATTGTGGATTTCTCACACATTATTAAACTTGGACTTATTTATAAATTATAACAAAACAGGATCTATTAGGTTGCTTGTTGGAAAAAAAAGAAAAAAGAAAGAAAAAATAATTTGTAAAACCTTTAATCCACCCCGAACAAAGAAATGTAAAACTATCATTTAAACAGAGGGTAACATTTTAAGCTACAGATTAACTCAAAAACAAACTATAAACATAAAATATCACAGAGGGGTAAGAATACAAATGAGTACTGGCAACTGTGGTTCTACTTTTCCTTCAAGTTTGGTGTAGCCCATTATTATTGTTGTGTTGTAACTAAAACTAAATAAGATTTGTGCTAGGGCTGGGTGGTGTGACCTCAAATTCATATCACGGTATAAATTGAATCCCTTCATGGTAACGGTATACATTGCAGTAGAAAATTATCATAAAAAGCAAAGATAATGTTTTTGCAGAAAACTATATTAATCAAACCCAGCATTTTTGCTGTAGTGCAAATGAACATAACAGAAGTACAAAAGAATGTGTTATAAATGTTGTGAAATGGTTTTAACAACAAACAAAAACATTTCTCAATTTTCAACACTATCAAAATAAAGTGGATGTTATAACAAGTACTTCAAGTAAAATTAGTCATTTAGACATAAAAAAATTCTAAGTTGGCATAAGTTGCCTAAAATGTTATAGTGTGACAGGACTGAAGGGGCTTAAGCTGCACATAGCCCTGTCATAAAACAATTTCAGATAACTGGAATGTAAGTGTGGTGAAGCCAAATAAATATAACATCTGTTTCATACTATGAGCTTCTGCCTGCTGAACTGACCCGTTACTCTGCTGCGCTATCATCTTCATCATCTTCGTCATCTGAGCAGAGCTACATTAGCAAGATGGATTTATGACTGAACGAACATCCACATCTTTATCATCTCTGCGGGTAACAATTCATAAAAAAAGTTTTTTCTCCGACAACCTGGGTGTGAAAAACTTGTTAAAGCTTCGCTCTGTGCGACGTGCAGCGGGAGGGAGGAAATGATCCTGCGTCCCGTGACACGACAAAACTGTTCTACAGGGGGGAGGGGGGGGGGGGGTTATTTTGAGGATTTATTCTCTCTATGCGTGTTTTAAAATGCTATATTTCTTCATTTACAGAATTTTTCAAACTCTTCCTGCTCAGTTGTCTCTGCACTTACAGCCCTGTTGACACAGGTGCGATGGCGTAATGACGACAGGATGGTAGAGGGTAAATTTCTACCGTAGGCCAACTTCATACCATTTCTACCATCTATCTCATACACTGCGCAGCCCTAATTTGCGCGTTTAATGATGCCTCCCACACCGAGGCCACTCTGATCAGCTTAACAGGGCACTGTTGCCAACTCCTCAGTATGAAAAGTAGCTATTGGCTGTCCTAAGAACCGCTCGAAGTCGCTAGGTGACATCACCACATTTGCATATTTGAACATTTGACAATAATTGTTATCTAAACTATAGGAGAGATGTACAGTATATCAGTGTTGAAGAGAAAAATGTGGAAAAAAACAAAACACTTAATATGTTTAGAACTGCAATTGAACTTAATAAAATAAAAAATAATTTTATGACTTGAATGCTCAGATCCACATTATATAAATTACATTTTGTGAGAATCTTAAATTTAATCTGCAGACTATTAGATGTCACAAGGCACACAAGGAGGCTGAGGTGAAGAAGTGACTGATCTGTAAGTCAAATGCAGCCGGGTCCAGAGAGACAATGTCAGGGGAAAAAAACATTACAGTAAAAATTGCATCCAGCTTTGTGAACCAGGGCAGGGGCAGTGTCGGCTTTGCACATGCGTGATTCATTTGCAGCGGTCTCCTCTCAGCTGATTGCAGCGGGGGTGCTGCACGCGGCTTCAGTAAGTCGGACCGCTTTAGGAAGGGGGAGGAGCTCACCTCGCTGCTCGCTGAGAAAAGTGCTTGGAAAGTGCTGTCGCCAAAGCCTCAAAGTCTCCAAGAACCTCAGAAAAGTTGCTAGATTTGTCACTAGTCTCTTTTTAGAAAGACAGTCGTTAGAGGGGTCTGAAAATTCGCTAAATCTAGCTACAAAGTCAGTTGGCAACACTGCAACAGGGCCGGAGTAGAGTTAGCCAAGGCTGAGAGCAGCGGCGCCCACTTCTGGATGRTGATCAAACTACACTGAAATAAGGTTCAAATGGATGTTTTCGATTAATCGAATGGAAGGAATTTTAATCTAATAAACCATTATTTGACAATTAATCTAAGTCGATTAATTGTTTGCATTCCTTCTCCAAACACATTCTTAGTGAACTCAAACAAGTCYACACAATGACTGAATATGAAGAAGCAGATCCTTACCAACATAGTAGGGTGTATAGCAGGGAGTGTTTAGCGAATTGTGTGAGGTGGTTTCCTTGGCAAAGCCGAAGTCTGTGAGTTTGAGGAGAGCACTTGGCCTCTTCGAAGAATACAGCAAATTCTCTGGCTGCAGGAAGAATTCAGAAACCAAACAAAAACACCGTTATTAGCAGCAGATGGACTCAAAGTCTTTTTAAGTAAAAGCCTTATAGATGCACATTATTCTATGTTCATTTGAAGCAATAGCACAAACCTTAACATCTCTGTGTGCAATGTTGATCGCATGCAAAAACTGTATGGCCTCTCCTATACTCTTCATAATATCAGATGCCTCTGCAAAGAAGAGAAAAACTATTCAACTAAGACTTTATAAGTAACAAACTGCAAAACAACCGTGCCTTCAACACGGTACCTGTAGCAGCAGATGATTGTATGATGTCATGGCTCTCTACAGTGATTTTTATATTTAGAAGGTTGTTTATTTTTAAGTCAGTATGAACCCATTACCTTTCTCTGTGAAGGCCTGGTCTCCTCTGTCCTGGATTCGACTAAAAAGCTCACCACCATCCATGCTGTGAAAACAAAAATGTGGAGAGAAAAAAAGTTTTAATTTATTAGATTTTTATGATTTAACAAGTGAATCCCACTATGCATTAACGTTAATAAAATTAGCACAATAATTGTTTAGGTGACAATGCAGATCTTTGTTTCCTTCTTCCAACGCAATGACACATGTGGTTTGTTGGTCCAACAACAAAAAGGTTTTGGTTCCCACTATTTACAAAATGTTATGTTGGCTTGGGCAATATTGGCAAAAAATTTTATCGCGATTAATTGTGCTATTTAGCCGAGAAAGATTAATTTGACGATTAATCCCCTGGAGTCCCTGGACACCCTTATGTCCTGGAAACATGACCAATTTAGTGGGAAAGATTTGCTCTATAAAAAATTGTTCCAAATTGTGTGAAAATTACAGATTTCAGGCTATACATCATTTTAAATTGTGTTGATAGATAAATAAATTACAGAAATTTATTTTTAATGTTCGTCATATTTGAAGTGGAGAAGAGCACCGAGCGGACTGACCGGAGTAATCTCCAGTCAGTCTGCCTGCTGGCATTAATCGTATTAATCGTCAAGTGCCAAAAAGTAATCGATAAATGTTTTTCTGACGATTAATTGCACACGATACGATTATGCCCAACCCTACTGCTATGGCAGTATAAGACATGAGATCAAATTCCTGCAGGTCATTTAAAGAATCTCCACCCCAAATCATTAAATAGCTGGAATAATTAAGAATATTTTAAACCTCATCTGTTTTACAACAGTCAATGTACAGATACTGAGCTACAGTTTGATGTGGTAGTAGTTGAATGTCAACCTCAACATAGGAATGTACGATATGGCAAAAAATTCATATCATGATATACATTATGATGAGTGGCGTTAACGATGTACATCACGATATAAAACTTATAATAGAAAATAAATAAATCACACATTGAGTGGAATAAATATGTATAGGTAAAAAAATTTAGACCTTAAAATCTCCTTTTTTAAGGGACACTTTTAAGTCTCCCATAAAAATCTAAATTTAAGGGAGATCTACCTGGTTAAATCATACAGCGGGTATTGGGAATTTACTTTAGGAACAAATTAATCATGATTTAATAATTTAATAATAATTTGGTTGTGCTGAACTAACTTCAAATTTATTTAGGTATTTTAATTGAAAGAATTTTTTTGTTGCCGATAGTGGCAAAGGCTAATATTTGTTTATAAAATAAGGTTTAAAGCAAAACCTGACACTAAACCAGCTTTGTTAATCATTTTATTAACCACAAGAACTTCACTGAAAAAATTCACAAAAGGAATCCTGTTCTACATTAAGTCTTACTGAAAATGCAAGAGGTCTTAGCAAACACCAACAAAAGAGCATCGGTTACATGGCTTCAATTGAGAGCAAGAAACTTGAACTCATTTGAGTTTCATTTTACCATTTGGCTCAAAATGACTGTGAGAGTTTCAAGTCAAACCATCAATACCAATTTCTAATCTGTGTTGAAACTCATAACACCAACGAGCAATGCTTCAGTCGTACATTTGGTAACTGGAGCGCAGATCTCGGATCCAAGAGATGACTCTGCTTAACCACAGCCAACATTAAGCTTCTCAACATTCTGCTTACTCAGAAATGGACAACAGATACTTGAAGCACAGAGGCGATCCCTCATTTATGCACATGCAGCTCACACTGTTTTTTGTTTCCTCTAATGTGGTCAGAAATAAGAGATACATTTGAGGCCTTTCAACCCAACCCTCTTCCTCTTGGTTTCTGGAAATTGTTGAGAAATGTGTGAATTCTCTGTTAAAGATTATGATTTTTGATTAAGTGGAGTACTGGTGCACATTTTGCAGGGTAACAGCAGAAAATTGTAGCACCCTTACAAATATCAGCCCACGTGCTTTCAAATGATCTGCAGAGTGAGGATGTTTCCACAACATGAGTGACAGTGGATAAATCTGTTTAGTATATATTTACATTGAGTGTTTAATCAAGTAAACTGTTTAATTTTAAGTCTTATTATAAAACACAAGCTTCAGCTGTAAGTCATCTGTAAGCTTTGGAAGTCTGAACCTCACAATCCATTAAGAGGTAAACAAGATGATTTATAACAGTCAGGTGACTATCAGGCTGAATTTCTTAAATTAGAGTGATAAATTGACAAAGAGGCAGTGTGACCTTTTACACAACATCGGACAACACTTTACCCAGCAGAATGTAGGTCAGACCAACTCAATGACTCACTGCAGGTACATGAAAGATATTGCCGTTTTGTTATTTCTACAAATGTGACATTCTAGGAAATGCTTTGATTTCATAAGAAGAACTTAAAGTAATTTATACTGAGCCTAATCTGTCAAGGAAATTAGTCATCATCTCAGCATGTGAGCATGTCAGCTCACACGTCTCCTGCCTGTGAAGTGCAGCGACCTGAAGTATGCACGTGTGGCAAATGAATGAGGGGAGGTGGAGGTTTGGTGGTTATAAAATACAACAAGATGGAAATAGAAAGGCAAGGAAATAACACCAAGTTCATTTAGAAGAAATGGGGCATTATTTTTCACAAGGACCRTGCAGAGTGAATTTACAATAATTAGCCTGGTTAAAATGTGCTAACCGCCATCAGTTTACACTCCAAACACTAAAAACTGTAGACTGAAACTAAATATTGTGGACATTTGAGTATTTCAATTTCACAAAATACTATTCAAAAACTGAACTTTAAAGTGATCCAGTGGGTTTTTAATATAATAAGAATTTATTTATATTATAAAGACTAACGGTTATGGCTATTTTAGTATAACAGGTGAGCTGATACTGCTGTAAAAGATAAACAGATTATATTTTATAAAATTAGAGTCAGCTTTTATCACTCAGTATGGATTGATTATTTTCTTTAAGATGCCTAAATACACACACTTTCAAAAAKAACAAGCCCATTTATACAGTATTTATATACATTATTAAAGCAAAAATATTTTTAAAAAGAGGTTTGCTTTAAGGCTGGTTGATTGCATCATGTATTAAAAAGCATTTAGGAGCAAAAGATTTCTTCTCACTGACCAAAAACTTACATACTAGGTTAACTGACAACTCTAAACTGCAATTTCATTCTGCATTGCAWCTTTGATGTTGTGTGTGAATGACAATAAATGCTTGTGATTCTGATTCTGCTTCTGATTCTAAATTGTCCCTTGGTGTGGGTAAAAGTGTGAATGGTCTCTCTCATTTGTCTGTACGTGGCCCTGTGATGGACACATGACCTTTCCAGAGTGTACCCCTGTCCCTTGCCCACYGACTGCTGGAGATGGACACCAGCTTCCCTGAAATCCTGTCTGGAAAASTGGTAAAGAAATGAGATGGATGGTCCAAATTACTTATCTTCAGGTCAAAAGAGTACTCCAGTAGATTAAATCATAAACGTGGGAACTGCTGCCAAGGTGGGTACAAAAGCAGAAATACAGGTGGGCAACAAATAACACGGCCTACAACACAGCTGACCAAGTTAAGAGCATAAAAACAGGCTGATTTTCAACAACTGGGTGTGCAAAAAATGGCGACAAGCCTCACTTGGCTGAAAAATACTCAGAATACGGTGAGACTGCAATACAAAATTTTCATCACAATATTTGGTTGCAACAGTCAAACCCCAACTCTTATGGTGCCACAACAGAATCACCAAACATCAAAAATATACAGACTTTCCTTTTGATTTTTAACACAAATACATCTGTGCAGTAACTTGAAGCACTTAATATTGGGATTTTAAGAGAAAGAAATGAAATGGWAAATGGACTGTACTTATATAGCACCTTTCTACCCAACCAGGACCCTCAACGTGCTTTACACTACCATCTGTACCCTAATTTACCCTCTCTCACTCACACACACACACACGTTCAGCACGCTACTAGATCTCTCTACAAAGCTAATAGAGGTGAATAAGTCTATAGAGACTAATACATGCTGTTTAATTACACTCATACACTGACGGGATGCACATTAGAGCTAGGAGGAGTTCAGTGTCTCGCCCAAGGACACTTGGACATATGACTGAATAGCAGTGGAATCAAACCGCCAACTCTTGCATTATAGGAAGGACTCCCCCAACCACTCAGCCACAGCCACCTCAAAGAGAAGGAACATCCCATAACTTGAGGCAGTTTARAGAACGTACAAGCTATTAACACTAAGTTTTATTTTKAAAACATAATATCMTGAAAGAAAACTGGAAGTGACCATAACTGGTATAAGATGACACCCCCCCCCCCCCAAAAAGAAAGAAAAAAAATAAATTAATAAAATAAAATAACATTTTGTGCATTTTGTTTTCCACAAAAAAGGTGAAATAATTAACTCTTAATATCGCTCACACCAAATATGAAATGCTGTTTTATTGAAGGTCGATGTCTGAAAATTGTGTACTCACCACTCCATGACAATCAGCAGACACTTCCTGCCCTGATAGAGGTTCTCATAAACATCAACAATGCGAACGATGTTAGCACAAGGTGACGCCCTCCAGTGAAGCTCCACTTCCCTGCGGGCCTTGGGACAGTCCTGTAGCATCTGGACAATAGGACAGACACAAAAGGGAGGAGGCTGATTAACATCTTGTATTTAAAGTTGAACTGTAACCTAAGTAGGCAAAAAAATAAAAGAAGCACTGTGATGCAATGATAAATCAGTGTCAYGCACCTAAAAGGGGAAAAATTCAGACCACCTAAGCCAAAGCACACAAACAGAAGTGAAGTGCTGCCATCCTATGGCAGAAAGTTAAAAAGTGTCAGCAGTTTATTTTTTATTTCAGATTTGTGTGCAAGTAGTCCCCTCTGCCAGCAGCACATGGTCATTACACTACAAGTGAATATTATCACATTCATAAATTTAGTGTAACACTGAGAAAATAAAATGGTCATTTTAAACCTGATAGTTTTTGTGAATATCTTTGTATGAACTCCAAAAGAAAATGTTTCTTTTAATATAGTAAAAGATGCTTTTACCTASTTGAGACAAGTGTATTATGCTCACAACGGACAAGTTCATCATTTTTCTAATAACCTAAACAGTTTATACAAAAGCAAAATCTTTTCTTTGATAAATTTAGACCTAAATTTCTGAACTAATTAAATACATTCTGAGTTTGCCAAACAAGAACTTGTTTTGCAAAAAAGACATTACTATTATTTAATTTTAATATATTGTTATAATATATAAAATATTATTAACCTAGGTAAAACAAAGAATACACTTAATAATTTTGCTTTTTTAAAAACTAACTCAAATTATTCAATAACAAAAACAAAAAAATTAGTTTATGATAAACAATGAGATTTTTTAGTGACATTTGTACATCCCAGTCATAAAGCTGCAGCTATAATGTGTAAAATGGCATGTTACTAAAGAAACAGAAGTATTTTGTTTATGTTTGTCAGTAAGTAGAGGCACTAAAATGAATAATGCAGCATTAAAAATGGGCCACAGACTGTCCATGTTCTTGTGTCTTACATTCCAGTCCTACCCACTGCCCAAACACAACAGTGGGCATTATTCCATGGAGGAAACCGTATCCAGTCAGTGCACTACACATTCATAAACTACTTCATTACTATGAAATAATACAGATTTTTTTTCACACACTCGTGCACAAATGTATTACTGCTRAAATTGTGCAATTGCTAAGTATCAAATATCTCCCAACCTCCTTTGCAACATGTTTTTGATTAAGACTAGTGGTGGGAAAATAAGCACCTTTAGGAGGAAAAAAAAAGCTGAAAGTTTCCTGGTCTGAAGCATTCAGGATTGTTGAAACAAAGCCAAAGTTGAAAGATATGAGCAACGTAGTTCTTGAACATCATAACTGGCAGGGTTTAAGGACAAATAGTTTTGAATCCATTATTCTACTATAGTGTCTGAGAATCAATCACCAATCTAACAYCTAAATGACCAGGAAAGTTAATATATGTATGATGATGATCTGTGTTTATTTATTCTTCTAATTTAAATTTAAACAGAAATCATCTCATGGTATGGTAATATTAGCTTGATTGTCACATTTAAACTACCAAACAGTGAATTTTTAATCAAATATTTTTACTACAACACTTTTAATTTCCAAAGGGAAACAAAAAGAAAAAGTACAGTATCATCAGTTAAGTTCACTTCAACAGGTTGAGCTGGTCCACCAAGTGAAGAAAAAGCAGCCGGGAAGTGTCTGAAATATGAGGAAGTTCTTTTAAAACCCATTAGAAAAGTATTCCCCAGGACAACTTATTGAAGATGTACAGGCATAGATGCAGCAAAATATTGTTAGTTCAGGTCATACACAAGAAACTGGGCTGGGTGCTAATAAATATGCAAGTATTTGTTACCAGGATGACCTRGTATGAAGTGTGTTTCTGTTTTATTTCAAGACTAGACACACAGTTCAAACAAGTGCAGAACAAGCAAGGGTGGACCTGACATCCTGCTTGATAGACAGAAAATTATAAACTTATTTCATGGAAGCCATGAACATGGTCATTTCCAGAAACAACATAAAAATAAATCATAAAATAATAAAAAAAATTCAAATTCAAAAAGTATAAAAATGAAACGAGTGCAAAAATAAAACATCTATTTTTGTAAAGTTTGCTATTTATCTCCATTTTCACATTATTATACATCATTA